CCCCCCCCGGGTCGAGGCTCTGAGCCCTCCCTGGACTCTGACTCTGACAGACAGGACAGCCCTCGGGTCGCGTGCTCCCCACTGAGGCTCTGAGGAGGGAGGGGACCCATGGAGAGTCCTCAGTACCACGTCTCAGAAAAGAAAGGGCAAGGCCACGCCCGCGCAGGCTGATGTCCCAGACCTCTGGGGAGGAGGGGGGTAGGGAGGTAGGTTATAGCACGAGCCTGTGACTTCACGAAAACCAGAGAAAGGGGTGAGGAAGGGCAGCACCCAGCTACCGACTTCTCCTTCCCCACTTGTCTCCAGCAGGCCCCAAGGGAGACACCAAGGAGTCAGTCCCCTTCAGTGAGAACCAGCCTTCCCGTTTTAAAATGAAGGCCTTGGGATGATTTAAGGGGTGGAAACAGATTCTTCCGGTTAGAGCGCAGAGTATGACGACATCAGGGTGCTCTGGAGGGGGTGACTCGGGACCGTCCACTCTGGAGAGGTCAGTGGACACCGTGGAAATGCACCCACAGCTCCAGGAAGAAAGAACCCTCACTCCCCACACCCAGCCTCTGCCACGGACTGAAGGCCTCTCCCCTCCCACACGGGGACTCCTGGAGGTGGGAAAACCGTGATCTGGGAGCAGGGAGGCGGCACATCCCGCCTGCTGTCTGTGTCCTTGCTTTGTCTGCACATCCTGTCTCTCTCACGCTGGACAGGAAACAACTGGTGAGGGAAAGAGTGGCTGGAACCCACAGAAAACCTGCCTGGTTTGATGACTCTTTCCCTGAAATTTCTCTCTCTCACCTCCTGCTCCTCTCACTCAGGCCCTTCGGAGCTTACAGGAATCGAGGCTGACACGCCGCACACTGGAAGCAGTCTGAACTGAGATCTAAGCCACCGCCAATGCCAGCGGGACAGAATTGGAAGCTAGTCTAACCAGGTTAACTGTCTGCTAAAGCAAAACCACTATTGGTTGGTGAATGTAAGATCTAGAGTCCCTAAACAACATTTGTAATGTCTAGGATACAATCCAAAATCACTCAATATATGGAGAGCCAAGAAAAGGGCACTTATTCTCAAGGGAAAAAATAGTCAACAGACACCAACTCCAATAACTGATACTGGACTTACTAGACAAAGACTTTAAAGCAGCTATTATAATTATGTTCAATTAGGTAATAACATGCTTATAATGGATACAGACATGAAAAAAAATCTTGGTAGATAAACAGGAAATACAAAGAGAGTCAAGTAGAAATTTTAAAAGTAAAATGTACAATACCTAAAGAAAAAAATTTAATGGATGGACTTAACAGACTGGAGATGCCACAGAAAAGAATTAGTGAGCTTTGAAATGGGGAAAATAGAAATGATCCAATCCCAAGAGGAAAAAAAAGATTAATACAAGACAACACCTCTGGCATCTGTGGGGCAATCTCGGAAGGGCTACTGTACCTTAACTGAAACCCAGCAACAGAGAATAGGGAGAATCAGGCAGAAAGAATTTTTTTTTTTAAAACACAAAACTTTCCTAATTTGGTAAAAGACATAAATTTACAGATTTCAAGAAGCTTCACAAATTCCAAACACAGTAAATCTGCAGAAAATCATGTTCAGGATATTAGGCAGCACACTTCTAAGTAATCCACAGGTCAAAGAAGAAATGATACTCTTCTGCTCCAACATGGAAAGAGCTCTCATCCTCAAGGAAAGAGCTGAGGAAACTGAAAATCAACACCTTTTCTTAGATTCATCAGAGCACTGACATTAAGAGGACAAACTGTACCCCTTCCCCCACTAGAGACAGGTGAGTACACGGAATTACAGCTTATCGGGAACCGAAGATGTGGCTGGAGCCAGCAGCTGACACATGTCCAGCTTTCAACAGAAAATTATAAGACACTAATACGCAAAAGTCAGTGTGAGGAGACAGCAAGCGTCAGAACCAGGCTCTTCACACTGTGGTTTCTGCCTTTTAGGGGTAATTTATTTTTCTTTTGCTATGCATTTTACATTTTGGAATAATTCTACATGCACAGGAAGTTGCAAAGACAGTACAGAGAGGCCCAGTGTATCCGTCACCCCGTTTTTCGACGGTTCGCCTTACGTAACGATACTACAACGTCAGAACCAGGACCTGGCCTCGGTACACCGTGTGCATCCAGTTCCACTCACCTCATCACAGCTGCAGGTTCGCGTGGCCCCCACTCCTCGCCATGGAGACAGAGCAGCGCTCACCACCGCCGGGGGCTCCTCCCAGCCACCCCTTCACTGTCACACCCACCCTTCCTCTCTTTCCCTCTCCCGGGCAGGCAGGCACCTGACGGCCATCTCTCGTTTGCAGTCACCGCTCTGTTTTGCCGGTAGAGTTTTGCCTTTTCTAGATGGTACTTTAAGTGGAATAATATAGCGAGTGGCCTTGGAGACGGCTTTTCTCACTCAGCAGGATGCCTGAGGTCCAACTGCTGTTGTGTGTTTCGGTAGTTAGTTTCTTTTGATTGCTGAGTAGTAGTCCCTGGTACGGATGGACCACAGTTTAGCCGTTCACCAGTCCAGAGAGAGGTTTCATTTCTCTGGGATAAATGGTCAGGAGTGTGATTGCAGGGCCATATAGTATTATGTTTAGTTTTTAAAAAAATATTATTTTTATTGATTTTAGAGAGAGAGGGAGAGAAACATCAATGAGAGGGAAGCACCTACTGGCTGCCTCCTACACGCCCCTACTGGGACTGAGTCCAGGACCCAGGCACGTGCCCTGACCGGGAATCACACCAGAGACCTCCTGGTGGACCAGGCGACGCTCACACCAGCCAGGACTATGTTTAGTTTTTAAAAGAAACTCTCACACTGTTTTGCAAGATGACTGTACCATTTCACATTCCCTAGCGCGAGAGACCTAGTTTCCCTGCACAACAGCCAGCCTGTGGTATTTTAATCTGATCTTGGTAAGTACTTCAATATGGTTTTAATTGGCATGTCCTTAATGGCCGGTGATACTGAACATTTTTTCATGTGCTTATTTACCATCTGTACGTCCTCTTAGGCGAAATCTCTTCAGCTTCTGTGCCCATTTTCTACCTGGATGATTTTATTATGGTTGAGTTTCAGTTCTAGACAAGTCCTCCGTTAGGCTGTTGGCAGGTATTTTCTGTAGCTTGTCTTTCCATCCTCTTAAGAGGGTCTCTGGCAGAGGAAAAGTTCTGAATTTAAACGAAACCAAAATGGGCATTTTTTCAAAAATGATTTTTTTTGCCCAGCTGGCATGGCTCAGTGGTTGAGCATCAACCTAACCAGGAGATCGGGGTTCGATTCCCGGTCGGGGCACATGCCCGGGTGTGGGCTCGATTCCCAGCAGGGGGTGTGCGGGAGGCAGCCGGTCAGTGACTCTCATCACCGATGTTTCTATTTTTCTCTCTCTCCCCCCCCTCCTTTCCTCCCTCTGAAATCAATAAAAATATATTTTTTTAAAATCATTTTTTTAACGGACTGTGCTTTTGGTGTCACATCTAAGAGCTCTTCACCCAGGCCCAGGTCCCAGAGTCTATACAGTGTTATCGTCTCAAAGTCTTACATTTAAATCTATGATCCGGTTTGACTTAATTTTTGTATAGAGTGTGAGATTTAGGCCAAGGTGGTTCTTTATTTTGTCCTATGGATACTGGCGTGGCCCCCACCCCGCCCGATGGAAGTGACGGGGATGGTGGTCCCCCCCAGCGCCGCCTCCTGATGAACAGAAACAGAAGCCCTGAAAACCCAGC